GAGACCAGGTAGGAGGGGAGTGAAGGAGGCCCTGAACTGTGCCAGACCGGAGGGAGCCAAGGGGGCTTGTGGGTGGGTGGGTTCTTGATGGCTCCTGGGCCGTTCCTTCCTTTTTACAGGCAGGAGCCCATGTTCTTAACTTGGTTTCCCCTGACAGGATCTCTGACATCCACATGGACGTGGCAGTGCCACACACCACAGGCCTGAGCCCAGCCCCAGAGGTTGAGGACTGCACTTGCCCGCCTGGCTACCGAGGGCCATCCTGCCAGGTGAGCAGCTGGTGGGGAGCTGAAATTACTCCCTGTTGTGGATTCAGACAGCCTGTGCAGACATCCGCGGAATCTGACAGTGGGGAAGAAGAGACCAATGGGGACCAGCCCAGGAGTCTGGGGAGGACTCGGACGAGGGTCCTGCGTCCGATACAGAGATGGGGCCAAGGCCATCCGGGAGTGGGGTGCTGACTCCGGAGCCTGGCAGCAGCAAGGCAGAGGAACAAGGGGAGCCTCTTCCCAGTGCGCGTGTGCGCAGAACTGCTAGAAGACAAGAGCAGCTAAGACAAAAGGGGCAACTCGGGAGTAAGGTTTGGAGGTGATTGCCCCTCCCCTAAGGTATAAAGGACAGGCAAAGGTAGAGAAACCTTTGCAGGAAGCAAAGTCGTTCTCTCTGTTCAGATTAAACCTTGAAGCTCTGTGTGGACTTTGTACTTGTAGTTGGTTTTTTATAGTTCATTTGGCACTTTAGTTGGCAGCAATTCAAAGGAGAGAAAGGTGGGTGCTTATCTCAGGGGACTGTTTGGGACTCATTAAAGGCTGGGAACGCCCATAATTCCCAGCGTCGAAATAAAACAAGAGTTGTTTTAACTTAAGCACGTGCTTAATTACGGTCTCAGGAAGCCTTGGTCAGAACGCTGGCAGAGGGCTCTCGGGGCACCCAGGACGGGGGGGGGGGCAGCCCAGAAGCCAGCGGATCGCCTTCCCCTCTGCTGCGGTTGAGTTGCCTTCTTCCCTCTGTTGCAGGACTGCGACGTTGGGTACACACGCACCTCGAGCGGCCTCTATCTGGGCACCTGCGAGCCATGCAGTTGCAACAGGCATGCCACCGAGTGCGACGTGGAGACGGGAGAGTGCCAGGTGGGCAGGACGCAGGCTTGGCAGCACGAGGAGGGTGCTGGGTTGCTCGGCCCTCCCCAGACCAGCCACCCCGTGCCCAGAACATTCTCAGTGCTGAGGAGGCACCTGCCTGATCCTCGCGGTTGACCCACCGCTTCCCTCTGCTTCCAGGGATGCCAGCACCACACGGAAGGGCTCCACTGTGAACGTTGCCAGCCTGGATTCTATGGGGATGCCCAGCACGGGACGCCCAGGGACTGCCAACCGTGCCCCTGCCACGGACCATCCTCAGCCATCCAGTAGGTGGAAGCCGTGACTGCCGGCAGCCCACTCCTTGCCGCGAGGGATTATTTGACTTCCTCTTCTTTCGCCCCCCTCCCCCTGCAGAGAAAGCGGGACCTGTTTTGTGGATGCTGACGGAGAGCCCACCTGCGATTCCTGTGCCCCGGGTTACATCGGGCGCCAGTGTGAAAGGTTGGCAGGCGGAGAGAGAGCTCGGGGCCCGGGCTCAGCTGGGACCTCTGCTGGCGTTGGGGCTGCCTGACGGGGCTGCCCGTCGGCTTTCAGCTGGGGCGGCCTGGCTCCAGTTTCCGCTTCTTTCCTTAAACTGAGCCTGTTTTCTCATCCCAGGTGCGCTCCTGGCTACGTTGGGAGCCCTAGCCTGGGTCAGCCCTGCACAGGTGAGTTCGGAGGAAAGGTGGGTGATGGAGGGTTGGCCATGCCAGGGATGGGGGAAGCTGCTGCTGACAGGATGAAATCAGAACTGGCATGGGAAAGAAAGTAAGAGAGAAGGAGGGAGAGAG